GAGAGAGAGAATAGAGAGAGGGCAGGGTAGGCTGCCTCTGCCTGGCAACCCTTTCTGGATCTGGTTGGATCTGGGTATCTGTTAGCTTTCTTTATACTATTTATTTATCTTTATACCATTCTTGCAAGCTTAAGCTACTCATCTGTACTCTTCCTTGGTGATTTGTCTTTCCTTCCATTCTTTATGCATACTCTTTTTTCTTCCCACTTCCTCTGCTGTGCAGCAACACTGGCTTTTTCAGACATTTCCCTTCTTTCTTTTTTCTTTTGGCTTCCATGGGACTGTTTGGGGTTGTGCTTCTTTAAGAACTCCCACTCCTTCTTTAAGAACTCCCCACCCTCGCTGGATGTTTCTTTTTTCCTTTAGCATATCTAGCATATCTAGCCAGCATTCTACCTTTAGAAGCAGGACATTTTCTGCAAGGCACATCAGGAATTTGTGGGAGAAATTATGCTTAGCAGAGTTTCCCAGCAGATATCAGGATAATTGAAGTCCCCCATAACTACTAATTTTTGCATCTTTGAGATTTCTGAGATTTGTTTCTAGAAAGCACAATCCACCACCTCTTCTTGGTTTGGTGGCCTGTAGCAGACTCCTGTTAAAATGCTGCTTTTATTTCCTTCTCCATTCATTTTGATTCAAATGCTGTCAACTGGTCCATTCTGCTCACTCTCATGGATTTCTGTACAACTGAATTTGTCTTTCAAATATAATGCTACTCCTCATCCTTTTCTTCCACATATATTCTTTTTGAATAAGTTATACCCTTCAACTGTAATATTCCAATCACAAGAGCCATCCCATGAGGTCCCTGTTATGCCCATAAAGTCGTATTTACCTTCCTGCACTAGGACTTCAAGCTCATCTTGTTTGTATTACAAACTCTCTGCATTGGTACATAGACATCAGAAGCCTTGTTTGTTCTCACTTATTCATCTCTGTTGGTTTTTCTGTGGATCGCATTTGTTCCCTCAACGTCTCCTCTAGAATTCAGATCATTGTGTTCAGGGCTTGCTTCTGGGCTGATGTTTGAGCTGTCACCTCCAACCCCCCAGGAATTAGCTTAAAGCCCTCTTGATCAGATTTGCCATGCTATTACCAAAGACTTCTTGCTCTTAGGAAGGTGGATCCCATCATCTGTAGCCAGTAGTCCTTTGCCTAAGAAGCGAAGACCATGGGGTCAGAAGCCAGACATCTCCTGTCTATACCATCTAGGTAACCAGTCATTCAGTTTTAGTATCTTCTGTCCCTCTGTAGCCCTCTCCAAGGTGATCTGCTCAGAGGTGTTCTTGGCAGTGCCATTGGTGAATAAGGAGAATAAGGAGAAAGGGGTACCGATCTGTGTTCTTGATTAGTTTTGGCCAGTTGTCAGTGACGTTCTAGATACATATGCCAGGAAGACAGCACACTTCCCAATTCATCTTGCCAGACTGGCACACAGGTTCCTATGAGTCCCCCAACCACCAGCACCTTTCTTTTCTTCATGTTGCGGATGGTGGTTACATTGACTTTTCCTCCTGCTCATTTCCTGTTTGAGCATCTTCACTGCTTAGTTGCAGCAATTCTGAATCTCTTCTGTATGGTCTGCTCCTGACAATGGACGTTATCACACGTGGGCCAGAAAGCGATAATAAAG